GAGGCCGACGTCTCACCCTCAGTGTGGTGGAGCAGAGAGCTGGAAGGATTGAGTCTGAGCACTCTCTGTGGGCCGTGCCACCCCCTTGGGTTGTGGTACTAGCTCACGGCTGCTGGCGGCTCCCAGCTGCCTTTTCTTTGGAGAATTGAGGTAGGAGCCATTCCTGCCGCTGATGGGCTATGGAATGGAGAGTCTGCCTTACCCAGCAAGGCCCCTGGGTCCAAGAGTATTAGGTTTATTTATAGATGTCCCCCCAAGGTCTCATGCATTGCAGCTGGGGCTTGGGAGGGGACTGGGTCTCGGGTGTGTGATGCTGAATTAGTCCAACCTTGGGTTTGTGGCTGGATGTGTGTTGGGAGGTGACGCTGGGTGAGAGGAGGTGGTCACTGTGAGTGTGGCCTGGAAGGATGTGTTATGTGTTCCCCCCACCCCCCACGGCTGCAGCTTACTGCCTGCTCCGCCAGGAGCTCTCCCTGCTGTGCCCTGCTGCCCTGCTGCCCTGCCTTGGGCGACTGTGGGCTGAAATCTCTACAACCTGAGCTAAAATAAACCTTCCCTCCTTTGGCTTGTGGGTGTCAGGTGTTTTGTCCCAGCAACAAGAGAGTCACTAAGCTGGAGAGCTTGATAACCTCAGACCCCAGCCATTTCTCCCACTGGCTTGGGAGAGGGGGCAGGTGAGGAACCGGGTCCAGCAGGAACGGGCACTACCCTGTGAAGAGCAAGGGAAGACTCCCGGGAGTGCCATGGAGGCCGAGGGCCCGCAGGAGGCAGGGTCCCCGGCTCAAGAGGCTGTGAGGTCCAGGCGGAATCCCTCTCTCCTGCCTTCTTGCTGCAGGCCTGTGTGAAGTCCGGGGCTGCACGGTCTGCGGCCAGACAGCGTCTGTAAGCAACTCTCTCCCCAGCACAGTTAACAATTCAGGAGCTGGCGCGTGCAGCCCACCCATCATTCCAGCCCTGTCGCCACCCGGGTGCCTCGCCAGTGAACAGGAAAGAAAGAATCGCCGTGCCCGCTTGACTGACGGGCCTCGCTGTAGGTGCTGGCAGGGGCTGGGTCCTGGGCAGGGCAGCGAGGTGGAGACACCCGACTGGGCACACAGCCAGGGGGCTGGAGCCGGCCTGGGGAGAGGGAGGCGTGCACGGGGTTTGGGACCCTGGGCTGTGGTTCGTAGAGGTAGCCTTGCAGAACTTTGTCTGCTTTCTCCCTCTGATCAGCCCTCCATTCATTCGCAAATCACTGATGCTGCCCACGTGAAAGTGGGCTGTGAGGCTCCAGACGGGTGGGAGGGCGCATCCTTAAGGCAGCTAGGAATACTACACCAAGAGACCTGAGACTAGAAACAGCTGACCGGGCTGAGAATCGATGCGGTCTATCGCCCAGCTTTGGCGGAGGCTGCAAACGTCCAAAGCAGAGAGGGAGGGTTGGGAGGTTCGTGGTCAAGATCGGGGACTCAGGCCAGAATGTCCCGTTCAGATCCCAGGTCCTGCCACTTGCTAACAGAATTAGCTTCTCCGTGTCTCAGTTCTCATATGTAAAATGGAGTTAATAATGGGAGACTGAGCTAAACTACTCTCATATACGGTGAGACCAAAAACTAAGCTGGACGTGGCGGGCAAAGTCTGTAATCTCAGCTACTTGGGAGGTTGAGATAGGAGCATCATAAGTTCAAAGCGAGCTTGGGCAATTTAGCAAGGATCTGTCTCAAAACAGAAAGAGCTGGGCATAGTGGTGCACGCCTGCAATCCCCCAGTATTTGGGAGGTTGAAGCAGGAGGATTGCCGTGAGTCTGAGGCCAGCCTGGGCTACATACAAAATATGTTCAAATCAAAGCCAACCCATGGATAGTGAGACCCAGTCTCAAAAAATGAGAGAGAGAGGGAGAGAGAGAGACAGAGACAGACAAGGGAGGTACCTCCATGGTAGTTCACTTGCCTACTGAGGGTTCAATCCTAGTACTGCAAACACATACATGAAAACCAAACACCAAACCAAACCAAAAGGAAGTGCCTAAAAACTTACAAAAGCAGGGGTGACTACACAGGTATCTTTAGAAAGCGATTTGGTCCTTACCTCTAAAGCTCAACTAATTTCCCATGCCACCCCAACTCCCACACCTATATCTTGATCCAGTTGAAAGGAAATACTTATGTTTGCACAAAAACCTGTACATGAGTTTTTATAGAGTTGTCATAATCTCTCCAAACCTGAAACAAGACAAGGCCTGTCTGCCAGAGGTGGGGCGTACCACATGCCGCTCCCCAGCAAAGGGCACAGGCAGCACGGTTGTCCCACATGCAGGGGTGAGTGCAAGGAGCCAGACTCCAAGCCTACAGGTCGTTGGGCATCTGTGATTCTCTGTGTGTGTGCCAGTCAGGAGCACTGCAGGGACGGGAAACTGGCCAGGGGTGTGTCACACCCTTTGGGCCATGAGAAAATGCTGGATGTGCTGAAGTCTATAGGCAGACATTTGTTTTTCTGTTCTTTTGTTTTTTGTCTTTTTGAGGCAGAGTCTTGCGATGCAGTTCAGCCTGGCTTTGAGCTCACTTTGTAGCCCAGGCTGGCCTCGAACTCACAATGACCCACCTGTCTCAACCTCCTGAGTGCTGGGATTACAGGCGTGCGCCACCACGCCCGGCTGTGACTAGTATTTAAAACCAGATTTCAGACGGAATTCTGGACTCCTAGCTTCTGTCTAGATGAGACACAGGCTCTTCAGTTTGCCCAGGTTTCAGTCCACTCCCTTGTGTTACCTCTTCTTGCTAAGTGTGTGCTAGCTTTGACCCCAGGAGCTGAAAGTGGCTTTGACCCCAGAGGCTGAAGACGTCAAGGGCAGCCTTTCCCAACCTTGGTCTGAGCAGTGTCATCGCTGGTGCTGTAGTCTGGGTCCTCATGGTCCAGAGGACCATGTGAATGCCAGCCTGTGGTGCTACTGGGATGTGGTGGAAGGTGTAGGAGATAGGCCCTCGTGGGAGGAATTCAGGTCACTGTGGGTGTGGCCTTGAAGGGGGCACGGGGACGCCTGCCCTTTCTGTCCCTCTGTACTTCCACGCGCCCCCTGCCATGGTGCTCCACAGACCTTGCATAGCATGCACTCCTGCCATGATGTACTGTGCCGGCACGGGCCTAAAGCAGCAGCGCTAAGTAACCAAGGATGGAGGCCAACACAAACCTTTCCTCCTCGAAGCTAATTATCTCAGGTACAGCAATGCAAAGTCAACACATCTGGGGAAATTTAAAAAAAAACCGCTGATGTGCAGTCCACGTTGCTGGGGCAGCTTGGGTGTGAGCGTTTATATGTACCCTAGCTTAGCTGCTTTCCCGTCACGGGACACACTGATTGCACTGATGCCTGCAATTCAGAGAGGTTCATTTTGACCCAGGGTTTCATTCCGTGGTCGGAAGGCACCAAGGCAGGAGGAGCACGGCAGAGGGACCTGGAAAAAGAAAGGTGCTCAACCCATAGAAGCCAAGAAGCCGAGAGAGGAGGGAGGAGCCAGGGAAAGGATACCCTCTTCCGGGTCATGACCCCAGTGACCACCTCCAACCAGGCCTTCCTCCTAAGAGTAGGTCAGCTGTGAGTTCATTAACAGCTGGGACCACTGGTGAGTACAGTGCCCCATGATCACATCATCTTCCACACCCATGAGAGTGCTGGGGGGCAGTTCAGATCCAAGCCGTGACATTCCCCGAATTATTCCAAAGAAGGTGCAGTGCAAGGGGACAGCAGCAGCAGGAGAGATGTGCTGGGACAGTTTGGTTACAGTGGTGCCATCTGGTGCAAAGGGACATGGAAGGAGACAGTCAGCACGAAGCCATATGGTAGTCAGCTTGGCCACACCATGTCCCAGGAGCCTGTGACCTCTAGCGCGAGGAGGGCCCAGAGTGCATTTGTCCGATGTGGCTGTGCCCCGACTTCGCTCTGTGTTCTCTTCTCTGGGGCGTGTCCTAAAGGAGGGAAGGCGGTGATGGGGGTGTGGCCATGCCTTCTTCTGAGCTGCACTTGCACAAGATGAGGAATCACTTGGTGCCAGCAGCTTAATCTCTGTGGTCCTCTTTGAAACTTATTCCCCTGATATGATGGTCCTAAAAGGTGGTGCCTTTGTGAGGTGATTGGGTCATGGGAATAGAGCCCTTATGAGTGGATTAGTATCTATTATGGTTTTGACCTGAAATGTCCTCTAAAAACCTTACATGTTCAGAGCAGGGCTTTTGAAAGGTGATTGGATCAGGGGCACTATGTTCATTAGCAGGCTAATCCACTGGTATGTTTCTAGCTGGAAGTGCTGTCAGGTGGTGGTGGTGCTACGGGAGGAGGTATCTCTCCCTCTGATTCACCTACCCTCTCTCTGCTTCCTGCCCCTCGAGTGGAGCAGCTTGCATCTTCCGTGCCCTTCCACCATGATGCTTCTGCTTTGGAGCCAGGTGACCATGGACTGCAGCCTCTGAAACCGTAAGCCAAAATAAACCTCTCCTTTTGTTTGTAGTTTTCAGGTCTTTTGTCAGAAAGCTGAACACTACAGTGGCTTTGAAAACAAGTTCCAGCCAGCTCCCTTTCCCTTTCCTCCAAGTGTTCTCAAAGGGACACTCACCAACCGAAACCCACCAAACCCTCTGCTGAATCTTCTTGCTCCTAGTAGATACAGCTCCGTCTTTAAGAACTCTATCTCCATATGAGCAGCAATTATTCTTTATGAGCTGTGTGAAACAGGATGGAAGCCACTGCCACTTTACAGACAAGCTAGGCATGGAAGAATTTATGTAGTACCCATTACTTTGATTCCCATTCTTAACCATATCATGTCATCCACACAGCCCCCCATGTATGAAATAGGGCTTCTTGTCCCCATTTTTCAGGCAAAGAAATGGAGACTAATACCATTTTGTCCCCCTCAAAAGTGGCAAGGTTGGTAGCTAAGCTGAGCTGTCTCCGTGGTTGTATAATGAGTCTGTGCCCCCTTACACCTCAGCCCTGGCTGGGACTGCACACACAGAGACACAAGTGTGACCTCTCCAGACACCTTTTATTGTTTTTGGTGCCCCCTCAGCATTCCTTCTGGTACCCAGTGGGTGTCTCCAAGGCTGTCTTGGCCTCTTCCCCTGTGGATCCTCTCGCTCCCCAACGTCTGTGAGGTCAGCTCAGGGAGGGGCTTTTGGTCCTGAGCAGGGGCGGAGCTGAGACTTCAGCCTTTCCACCACCCACTTAGGTGACTTTCACTCCGTGGCCCAGAGCACTGCCTCGCCAGTCTTGGCTGGGCTGGTCTCTCACCACTAAGCATCTCGTGGCCTTGTCGGCCACAGGAAGCACAGGTCCAATCAAGTGAATGAAGGACAGCTCCTGGCTCCTCTTGTCCCTGTGTCTCTCCACGAAGAGACACGAATGGGGTGTCAGGGAGCCTTTACTCTCAGGGAGGGTTCCCAGAGCAGTGCGCAAGCAAGGAAGGAGAAGCTTCCATAGATGATACTCTTCAGGGATGGGGTCCCTTGACACAGCCCACAGCGTTCTCTAGGCACTGATGTTTCTGGGCTGCTGGCACTCACAGCTGATTCCAAGGACGGTCGCTGTGGTCTCTGCTCCTGGGGGCTGCTGGGAGCCATAGGGGTGCTCTGTGAGCTGTGCTGTCTGTGGACAGTGTGTGATACACAGTTGGGGGCCACTGAGTTCTCCAGGGACGTGGCCCCCCATGCCGGCTCCTCCCTCAAGATGGCACTGGACACAGACACTCGTGCAAGGGTTGGTTCTCGTTTCTCTTGAGTTCCCCATGGTTGATGTTGGTTGTCAGTGGCGCTCACCACTGAGGAGGTTTTCGCGGCAGAAACTCTACCTTCTGATGGTTCTTAGTACAGCTTGCAACTGGCACAACTGACGAGTTTGGTGCCGTTGGTTCTGCCACTCTGGTGCTCGCTCCAGATGGGGACGGCTCTGTCCCTGAGGCTCACAGGACTGGATGTTGCTACTGCTGGTGGTCTTGACACCGGTGGTCCCAGCATGGATGGATCTTGCTGCAGCTCTTGCAACTGGAAGCCCTTCTTGGTAGAGGTCGCCTCCCCATTGACCACTGCCCCTCGGCGTAGATGGTGCTCAGCATTATTGTCCTGCGGCATGCGACCTGCCCGCTGATGGCTGCTGCAGACAGCTAGGACTTTGCCTTGAAGGGGTGCAGCCTCTTTGGGGGGAGCCTGGATTTGCAGGGCCTTCGTGTCTGTGGCAGTTAGAGGGGATCTTGGGGCTGGAGTCTTACAAAGGCACGTGCGTCTGGGCAGGCTGCTGGCCCTGGGGCACCTCGTTGCTGGTTTTCATGTTGCCCTCAGTCTTGTCCTCTTGAAGATCAGTACTGCTGTTCAGTGTGCTTTGCCCCTTGCTGTTGGCACACAGGCTCTGGCTGCGGCTGGTCTGGCTGGAGGCCTGGCTGCCTGAGATACTGAGCAGCCCGCTGCTGCTTACCTGGTAAGTCAGGAAGCTGCTGCCCGGGCTGATGAAGCTGATGCTGCTCAGGCTGCTGTTACTGCTGCCTGGCAGGCTGGTTTCACGCTTCTCCTCCAGTCTGCTTGGTGCCAGGCCCTTGACCTTGGCTTTGCCTGCGCAGGGAGCTCTTCAGGGGTCTGGGAGAGTACACAGTGCTCAGCTGGCTGCTCCAAGCACTGCCCACTCGGGTGTTGAGCTTTCTGGTCAACCGCGGGATGCGCTGGCTACGCACAATGCTGACGCTGCTGTTTTCCTCATCCCCCGCGTACCCGCTGCTCACCAGGCTGGCGCTACTTTGGTCCTTCCGTCTGGGGTAGAGCATGCTATGAACCAGGCTCTGCTTGCTGCGGGTCTTGGCTAGGGGGCTACTGTAAGCTCTCAGGGACTCCCGAAGGGCTGCCGCATAGCTTGCCTGTCTGGGTGGTTGGATATCCGAGCTGGGTGAGCATGGGCTTGGCTCTGTCCCCTGAGGATCACAGGCAGAAGACCCCCCTTCTTCTGCCTTGGGGGAAAGGGGGGGCAGTGGGATTGGCTTATCCAGGAGGAGGCAGCCCTGAGAGGCCTCTGGTGATTGTGGCGTTTCCAGGGACAGGGGATGCCATTTATATGGCTGCCCTCTTAAAACTGAGTGTTCTGATTGGCTGGCTCTGTTCCCATGGTGATAGGTCTGTGAGGTACTGGGAGGAGAACAGTGCTTTTGTGACAGCAGCGAGTTGCATCACAGGCTTTGCCTGGAGGAGGAGCTGGGCAAAAAAGAGGCTCATGGCTAGAGTAGGGGAGCTCCACCCTCCTGAAGGGCTTCTCAGCGTCACCAGTGTTGCCAGCCTCTGCCTCCTTGCTAAGGTAGTCTCAAGGGTGGAGAGAACACCACGGACAGGAGTTGAATCCAAATTCCTTGACAGATTTTCAAGGCCCTGCCTGACTTGGTTTTTTCAGTCTCACCTTGTACCATACCCTGCTGCTTTTCCACACTGAGGGGAAATCCTCACAGCACAGCCAGTCACACTGTTTTTCATGTTCCAAGGTCTGACCTGCTACAGGGCCTTTGCACAAGCTGTTCCCACCATCTGGAATGCTTTTCCTTTGGTTCCTCATTCTTCAGGCTTGAGCTTAAGGACCCTTTCTTGAGAAGCCTCCTTTGATTCACCAAGAAGAACCTCCTATTAATTTTTATGCTGCTTCCTAATATATGTTCCTCGTGACAATATTATGTGTTGGGTATTTATGGTCAGTTCCCTCCACCAGAATCTAAATTTAGTGAAGGCAGAGACTTCAATTTCTGATTCTATACTCTGCTCCCAATGTCCAGCACACTGCCTGGCTCATAGCAGATGCTTATTAGACAGTGATCAAGTGAATAAATAAATGAACTGCCTGGCTTCTGAATCCCAATCACCTGAGGAACTTAACAAAAACACATTAGCATTGTCTGGGACAGTGGCTCTCCCCTTGACTACCTATTGGAATCACCTAGGACTGCCTGAGTCTGAGCTCCAGAGGTCCAGCATTAACTGGTTTGAAATGAGGCTTTGGAAGTAGAATTAAAAAAAAAATCTCTCCAGGTAATTGCAAAGTGCAGGCAACATTAAGAATCACGCTAGGTGGAGTGGCTCAGCCACCCATGTATTTCCCAGGTGACTGTCACGGTAGCCCTGAAGGAGTAGTGGTACTGCCTTAGTCAGGTTCCTCATTGCTAATACACAATACCTGGCACTCACAATGTTAAGGAGGAGAGGCTTATTTTTGTTCACGGTTTTAGTCCATAGTGGACCAGCTTCAGGGAAGAAAGGCATGGCGGAAGGGTCTGGCGGAGGGAAAACTGCTCACATCATGGTAGCCAGGAGGCGGAGTGCAAAGAAGAAAGCCAGGAGGGAGATACACTCTTCCAGATCTCACCTGCAGTCATCTGCGTCTCACCACCAGACCCTACCTCCTAACAGTAAGTCTGCTGTAGCGCCCCTGTAAACCTTTTACAAGACCAGCCTCTGAGCCCATCCGGCTCTGGGAGACATCTAGATGTAAACTATAACAGGTACCCTCTGTGGAAAGTAACCCGTGTATCAATCAATTATGAGTAGATACTTAATGAATGTTTATGGAGTAACTGACTGAATAAATTAAGATATTCATTGATCTGTAAAGAGTTTGTGGGTGGGTTTTAAGGACTTTGAGAATTTATTGAATTTGTATGCAAAAACTGCAAGGAGCTACATATACGTTTTCTTTCCCCCAAGGAAAGAGTTTTAGCTTTTGTCAAATTCTTGCGTGTGTATCGGAAAGACAGAAAGATCTTCCCACATCAGCAGATCAGGAAGGAGAAAGACGAGATGCCGCTCTTGCCTTATCATGAGGGATGCAGGTGGCCTGGTGCTTAGTCTGACTTGGGTGTGGGGTGCTGGAGGATGGTGGCTGACTCTGTCTGAGATGCAGGGTGGGCAGAGAAGGAAGGAGCTCCTTGGAGACAGAATGGCTCACCCCCTGGACAGTCACCAGCACCTTGATTGCTATTTGTCACTGTTGTCTTTATTATGAATTTTTCCCACTGCCTGAGGCCGCTCAGCTTCTCTCTGTGTACTTGGAGACTTCCTCTGTCTAGAAATTCTCATCCCCTTGGGCTGGGTAGGGACATCTTCTAACTGCCTTATTTCCTGTCCCCATGACCGTATACCCGTCTCCAGGGAATGGGGGCTTTATGATGATGCCCGGAGAAAGTACAGTGGGACCCAACAGCTGTGGGAAGCAGGGACACGGTCCAGCCCTTTAGGACAGGCTTGAGAGAGGAAGGGGGTCAATCTCCTAGGCATGTAGGCTGGGGCTCCAAGCTGGCTCTTGTCTTGCCCAAATGCAAAACAGGCAGATGTCCCTGAGCTGGAGATTCACGGTGAGTGTACTGGGACAATACTGCACCCCTCATCCCCAGGCCACCTCCCCAAGTCCTGCTGCGTGGTGGGCCTGAGGACTGGGGCAAAAGCCTGGGGCTGCTCTGAAGTGATGACAAAGTCCTTGCATTCTCAGAGCCCTTCCCCCGGAGCATGTGGATGCCACATCCACTGCCTGTGAATACAAGGGAGGCCACAGCCATGGCTGTGAGTCCTCCCGGTCACCCTGGGCCTCTCGTATCAGTTCCCATTTGTGCGTTTCAGCATTTGCTTGCCTGAGGTCCCCTAGGAAGCTCCCCGGGCATCCTTACTTTGTCCCTGCCTCCGTGGCCATGCTACGCCTGAGGTCACAGTCTGCCCAGGTATCCTCCAGGGCTGAAGGCCCCCACGACTCAAGTGGCATCTTCTGAGTCCACAGGGACAGGTGGGTGGCTGGTGTTTCTCCCAGGGCCCGTGTCTCCTAAGGGACTATGCACCAGGCCGCTTTTCTGTTTCCAGTGCTGACCGCTGTCTGCCCCAGGGGCCCTCCTTCTGACACGCGCACTCTGCCTTTCTCCAGGCTCTTGTTTGCTCCTGGCTGTCAGGTTTTTTTGCCCAGACATCTGGTAAATACAGGGCCAGCAGCCTGAGCCCCAGTCCAGGCCCAGACCGGGAGCCTGGTTATAATCCCGTTGCCTGTGGGTCCTAGAGACCAAGGGTGTTGTTCTCCATGGTGTGGCAGAGACGATGCTGTGTGCTCGTTAGGTCGTCTCACTCCTTTTCTGTATCTCGGTGGAGCTGCAGAATGTGGGCAGAAGGGATGCTCACACTCCAGGCATGGGCCGTAATACAGCTTCCGGAAATGGTCCTCTGTTCTCCTCTTCTGCTGGGACTTTGGAACCCATCCACTGAAGGCGGCAGAGCCCTGGGGAATGGAGTCTGGGTCCATGACCCCCTGCCTCCACCAGTGCACTTGTGATGTCTGTGAGCAATAATGCTTCCTGGGCTAAGCCATTCAGATGGGAGTGGTTGTTTATTACAGCAGCAGAGTCAGATTTCCGTACATGGCTGTATCTTATGCCTGAACAGTCCGTGTTCACCGGCACTGTTCAAAAGCCTTCTGCAGCAGGCTGTGGCTGAGCTGCTGCTCAGCACTACCCCAGCGACCTCAACACTGAGGTCCCCTGATGTGAAGGCTGTGCTTCCTCACTCAGAGAAAAGGAAAGAGGACACCAGAGAACATCAGCAGCCCAGAAACTGGCCCTCAGCCCAGGCCTCCCGAATAATCTAGTAGAAACCCTCCTCTGTGTTAGGTGTCGACTCCCTGAGGGTGACATGCCACTCCGGAGACCAGAGTCAATGGGGCATTTTGCTTGTTCTTCTTTATTCACTCAGCAAACATTCCCTGGATTCATAGTCTTTCTTTCCTTTCACAGATGTGGAGTTCCTGCTCTCCGCTAGGCACTGTGTGAGCTCCTGCCCTCAGTGAGTGCATCTCCACTGAGGGAGTCAGATACGGAAAGGAAATAAACATGCTGGGGGAGAATAAATGTGGGAGGGCAGTGAAGCAGGGTGGGGAGTAGAGAGCTGGGGCATGTGTGTGAACGCACCGGGCCACGTCCCTCTATCAGAACAAGCAAATGCAAGGGGAGGAAGTACTGAGAGCCTCCGGGCAGACGGTCCATGGGGTTCTGCAAGAGCTTTGGGATTTTCACTGAGTGAACTGGGGGCTCCTAGAGAGTTTCCCACAGAGCAGTTTTCCCACAGGCTGGGTGGGAAGACCCGGCTGGAGAGCAAGGGCAAAGCAGGGAGACAGCAGGTTGGCACAGTCATCTAGGGATGCGATGGGGCTGGCTGGGGCCAGGGCAGAGGCCATGGAGAAGCGGCTGGACTCTGGGGTGCTGCTGCTGTGGTTCACGTCCTGTGACTTACACTGAGGTGCCACGGTATGTTCCACTTAACCTCTCTGAACTGCAGCTCCCCCGCCTGGGAAATAGATGATCTTGATCACTTTCCTTGTCACTGGGACACAATACCTGACACCTGCAACTTAAAGGAGAAGAGGGTTGTGTTTGCTGTCCATAGCTGGCCAGCTCCAAGGCAGGAAGCCATGGGGGAAGGATCTGGTGGAGGGAAAACTGCTCACATCATGGTGACCAGGAAGCAGAGAGTGAAGGGTAGAACCAGGAATAGAAATAAACCTGTCTAGGTCACATCTCCAGTGAACTACCTCTTCTGACCAGGCCCTGTCTCCTAACACCAGCCAGTTGCTCTGCCCGCATAATATATCCACCTTCCACAAGCACCACCTCTGAGTCATGGGCCTGTGGGAGACTCTCCAGGTATAAACTATAATACGAGTAATAACATCATTAATGTTGCTGTCTAGAGGGCAGGCAGCCAGGATAGGTCTGGCTCTAAAAGCTCCATACATGGCAGGGCTGTCCAACTCTCATGGAACCTTTGGGTGGAAAAGGTAGTGTGTGTGTGTGTGTGTGTGTGTGTGTGTGTGTGTGTGTGTGTGTGCATGCTTGTGTGTATATGAATATGTATCTGTATGAATATATAAAAGTATATGTGCGAGGATACTTAGATGAGCACATATGTACTTAAACACATGTTCACAGAGACTTTATTTGAGCCATAAGACCCTTGGCTTACCCCACACCATTGCCCATGGAGGCATCCCCTGTCCTGGAGGTTCTCCATACACAGCTCAATCATTCCAGAGCCTCTGCTGCCCTCCTCTGATGGATGCTGTGGTGGTTAATCTTGTCAGGCTGTTTGGATGAATAGATGCCTACAGGGGCAATGGGATT